GGAAAAAGAGTATGATAAACCACACCAACAAACTACCAAATCTAGTCCTGCCTGTGTCATGAGGATAAATAAGGTAGGTTTTTGAATGTGCTTTGCAACAGTATTAAGCCCCCAAGATGTTTACTCTTAGCTAAGGTTTCCCAACTTCTAAAATTTTTAATACACTGAGATGTATGCAGACAGCATCACTTTGATGCCAGTTGACCTGTTACATTGCAGTACCAATACTGTTCCTGATTTCCTGTAACAGAACAGAAGAGTAAAGAAAGAGGCATACTATCATGCAAACAGCATTGAAGTAGGAATCCAGAGGCTTGGATTGAAGATTCAGCTATGTGAAGTCTTGGACAAGTCTCCCTGGGCTTAAACTTCATCTCACAAAGACTCAATTTCAGACCTTTAAAGTTTCTTTCAGCTCTAAAGTTATAGGGAATGCTGGCAGGGACTGATGTGACGGAACACACCCGTCTCACATATCCCCTGGGAAGTGTGGCTTCCTACAGAATTAGACAAGGCATTAAAGAAAAAAAATGTTCTGACACTTGTTCTAAAGAGAACATCCCCAAATGGACAGATTAGAGCAGTTTTATCCTCAAGAAAGCAAGGAGATCAGTTACACCCAATGTTTTTCTCTCTTGTGCTCTCAAACTTCTGAGCCTTTCTTCACCAAGAAGCCTTCCTATACATTAACCAGGGAAGTGTTGAGCTTTTTCCACTTCAGCAAATTTAAAACCTTAGCTGTTTTTTTGCAAAGAGTATGTCTGTCTTTCCTACCCACTCTATTTTACCTCAACTCATAACAAACCACAAGTCTTTCAAATTTTGTAATCTAGAAAAATTTCCATAGTCACTAAATTAATGGCACTTAAGAACAATACTAAATACTATAATATTAACACTGTTCAGTTAGTACTATGCTACTAAAGTATTAAAATTTTGGATCCTGGACTAAATGCAAGAAAGAACTGACCTTAGTTAGCAAAATGACCTCATTTCTACTTAGAGTATGTGTCCGTAAATCTGTTAAAACTGTGGAAGCAGAAGGAACTTGAGTAGAAAGAGATCTGGTATAATTCATCTTTTATCCCTTGCATCCAGCAAAGAGAGTGAATGTTACTATACACTTAATGAATGTATTCATGTTCTGAGACAATTCAATAAACAGATGACCAATGATATAGCAAGGAATCCAGGCAAATACCAACATTATAAGGATTTTAGTTTTGTTTTGTTTTTTAAATAAATGCTTGTCAATTAAAACTAAAATACAATTACTTTCCCAAAGTATAGTCAAATTCCAACAACACACTTTTAATACAATACAGCAAAATGTTTGATATGGCAAAATTCACAGAGGATTAATGTAAGATCACATTCTTTTGTGTGTCCTAGGGGAATAAAGGAGGTAAAGAATTTAAGTAGCTTAAAATATTCTTTTTAGAGCATTTACCATTACGAGGCAATATAGAAATTTGAAGCAATAAACTGTATCTTGTTCTGAAAATAAATTGTAATTATTGAATCATGTTGCTAAATTACATTTATTACCATTCAATTTTAAATATCTATATATACTTATATAGATATTCCTAATTCACAAGATTTCAAATACAGAAAATTTAAGTCAGATAAAAAGTAATTTGACTAAAAGTACATGAATTTTCAACATTCTTTGTTTATACTTTAAAGTCCCAAACTTTATAAAAAGTTAAAATACTGATTATTTGAAATATTTCTCCCACTATGTTTTGTTTCTCACAAATGCAAAGTGGGCTTAGAAATACACCAATTGTAGGCACACAGGTATCTCCATGATTGCTGTAAACTGATTGCTGAGTTTAATATTCCTTTCCAATAACACATCAATGTCAACCATTTAAGTTAGTGAAAAGATTCTCTTAAAACATCAGTTACAGACAGAAATACTAACCAATTTAGTAAGTTTTTACAGTACCAGCAATAGAGATGTCAATATTATCCTATTTTCTTCTCTGGAGATTTGGATTAAAACAATTTTATCCAATTTATTCTCAACCAAAGGAAGAAATAAGTTCTGTTGAATGCAATTTCTCTAGGAACCATTTTCTGGTATGACAGTATATAAAAAAATTTCGTTAAACTAAATGCATTTTAATATTTACAGAATTGAATACTATCTCTTGTGATAAAGTGAGACAGAGCAATACTAGGTAAGTCTAGTAGCACCCAAATCAGTATTACCCTGGAAGTGCTCAATAACATGTAACATGTGTTATTAGTGAACTGTTATTTTCTACATCATTCTTGGCAAATGGATAGAGGAAAAAGAAAGAAGACATATACATGCAAAAATATTAAAACATATATTCCTCACCTTCAACCTAGTATTATAGGTAAGCCACTCACAAAATATAGTAGGCCTCACGGCAATAGTATCTTCACATATTATTAATATGAAGTTGTTTAGGAACTGCTATCACTCCTTAGGGGTAGCAGATAAATTTTCTTTACAAAATAATATAAAAGAGAACATACCTTTGCACTGGTTTTATTTATGGCTTTGACCTCCTGAGAGGATGCATGCCTGGGATTACCTCTCCAGAAGCCCTAGACTCATAAACATTAGGCCCTGGTTAGCAAAAGGAATCCCTCAGGATCACAGTTTTTCTCAAGTCAAGTGCAGGGTGACCAGACTATCATAAACAACTTGTTAAATGACATAGTTCCCCCCAAAATTAGGATGTAGACTGGAGGATGTAAGGCACATACTTTTCTGAGCTGAAGACACTGCTACCTTTAAAAAGATCAAGACTAATGAAAATGCAACATTGGATGCTATTAAATTCATCACATTAATGTTATAGTGTTTAATACAGACAGTGAAGGTCAAGTGCTTCTTTACTACAGAGGAAATCAGAGCTATATATTGCAGATCATGCTGCATAAAAACCTATACAGTAGCTTTTACTATTGTTGAACACTCAGCTCACTCTTAAAAGCTCACCATTTTGAACTAAATGGGTATAATAGTTTAATTACTACATATACAATTAAATCTGTTTTGGATAAGAAGGGGGCCATTAAAAATTAGGTATTTCTAAATGCAGCTTAATTTTATATACTCATACTACAACTGATATACGTTAGCCTACAAAACGTCTTATTTAAAGTAACTTTTTATATAAAATGCTTTAAAAGATCAAACTTGATTTGCAGAAATTATCTGTTTTGTGGGTGTTTTTTCCATAGTGCAAAGGTAAACATTAACCAAGTACCACAAATTACAGGTTAATGAGGTATTACTCCCTCTGGAAAGAGCAAGGTTGGCTACAGGAAAATCTTATTACTTACTGGCCCTTCAATATGGAGGGATGTGGGCAATATCCCAACAGCAGAAACTAAAGAAATCAATGAGAAAGGCTTTCAGATGGCAGCCTGGCAACTTAATTTTAAAACAATTCACTATTAAAGAACTTTCTTTGCTCAGAGATATCCCTGGTAACTGCTATGTCTCTGCCCTTTGCTGCTTTAAAAGATTTCTTTCATTTCACACTCCAGCAATGGGCCTTTCCTCCCCCCCCCCCTTTCTTTTTTAAAACATCGCGATATTCACAATGTTCGTGTGGAACTGGTCTGCAGTGTTATACTGCACTAGTGTGAACCGTCTTTAACTTTTATTTACATCAATACCAAAATTTTTCAAATTTGAGTTACAATTTACAATGCAAATCTTTTTTTTTTTTTTCAAATTTCATAGACTAAAGTTATAGGTATCAAGAATTATAGATTAAGCTGAAACCGGTTTGGCTCAGTGGATAGAGCGTCAGCCTGCAGCCTGTGGACTGAAAGGTCCCAGGTTCGATTCCGGTCAAGGGCATGTACCTTGGTTGCAGGCACATCCCCAGTAAGGGGTGTGCAAGAGGCAGCTGGTCGATGTTTCTCTCTCATCGATGTTTCTAGCTCTCTATCTCTCTCCCTTCCTCTCTGTAAGAAAATCAATAAAATATATTTAAAAAAAAAGAATTATAGATTGAGAGACTCCTCTGACACACATTTATAAGTAAAATATGAACGGAAACCCTCAGACCTATTTACCCTACTCAAATATAGGGAATAATGACAACCCTGACTAGCTTGTCCTTAGGTCAGCCATTCTCTGGCACCATAAAAGCAAAATATAGTATTAGCTCATTTTCCTAGTTCCTAAAATCCTAAGACTATTTCACCTCTCAGTTTCATGACACTGAGAACTGGATTGATTCTAAGGATAGAGATTACTAAGAATGTTCAATGTATCCATCTCAATTTTAAATATTAGCACTGAAGAATTTCATTCCAAACACTTAAATGCTTTGGCTAAATAGTTTTATCCACCTAAAATTTGGTCACTAAAATTGTCCAAGTAGAAACAAGCATTCTTATTTCATTATGAAAATCAGTGCATATTCTATACATCTCAAAAGATAGTTTAAGTTTATTAACTATAAACACAAATATGTGACTTAATTAAAGAGATATAGACTATCATTTTAAATACAGAGTGAGCTATATGATTTGGGAGCTGATTATCTGGTTTCTAGAATATCAAGTTCCTTATATCTCACCTTCTGGTTTAATTTCTAGCCACCAAGAAAGGAAAGGTAGGGGGGAAAAATAGGGGGAAACCTTGGGAATTATTAGCAGCTCTTATAAAAAGTTAAAAGGTAAAAAAGCTCTTATAAAAGATGTTTTAAAAAGATAGAACAGCTATAATGTAGATTTCAGTAAAAGTCACCAAAGACAGCTGGACACTGATCTTAGGTTTTCAAATGCACATATAGAGAGCCATAGCAAACATTTTCTTGATAGTTTGCTGTATATATCTACATTATATAGATAAAGCTAGAAGCTGTTTCTGGTTAGACCTATTTATGCATGTGTAAAAGCTCAATCAGTGCATCTTCTTTCTGGGAAGCTGGGAAGAGATATGTAAGGTTGAACACCATATTTACATACCTATCCTTTTTTTTTTTTTTTTTTTAACAAAGATTAACTCTTAGAAGATTACTCAAGCTGTTATTTAGGTGAAGCTGGTAATGAATCTGAAAGTAAAGTGAGGCATTTAAGCCAGAAAAATTTGGTCCTATTTATTTGAGTATGTTACTATGAATACATTCTTCCTTTTCTATGAAAATATTTTATATATCTAAACTAAGTCACTTACAAAACATTTTGAGCTTGCCACTTAGGTACTACCTAAGTCATCTTCACTATTCTTAGGTTTATAGTATATAACTTGCTGTGGTTCAAGTGGAGGAGCAAACAAGACTTGTCATTACTTCCACAGTGAGATGTAATCAGCCATGTATACTTTGCTAGGCAGTAGAAATATACTAGATCACATCCATAGACATAGAAAGTTACTGAATCGAAAGGACAAAAAGAATCTTACTATCTTATAACAAGGGGAAGGGATTTTCTTTATAGCAGCGTTTCACTACTGCAGTCATGAAACTTTCATGTTGTTTCATGAATTAACATATAATAGACAAACCCTAAACGATCCTAAGTATATTTTCTTCTAAAGTAAAAAAATACTACATATGACAAAAAACTAATACATATACATATCATTACTGTAAAAAATCTACTTTAAGAAATGATGTGCCCATTCATGGAGGGAGGCCACCTCCTGTTTGCAATGCATTTCTGATCTGCATATTACTGTATAGGTAACATTTCCAAACATCATGCTATGTTAGATTAATGACCTAAGATTGCTAGTATGTGTAGTGTATCTTATTTTATAATACCAACTTGTTACTGAACTGTTACTCAATTTTTATTGCATATTAAGCTGATTAATAAAAATTTGGTAATTTCTAATAGCAAGTAATCTGTAAAAGCATTTTTCTTCTATACTTTAAGGATTATCTAATACTTATTTTGTTATCAATATAAAAAATATTTTTAAAATATTCCATGGTTAAACTGGTTTTGAAAATTGTTCTGTTGTGTACAAACATGACTGCTGCCCAAATTTTCTTTGGTTTGTTGTGATGTTTTTCTAGTGCCTTTTTAAAATCTAGAGAAAGTTATAGTTCAGTACACATAGGCAATAAAGTCATAACTGACTGTTAAAATTTTAAAGTCATTTTCCCACTCCTTTATGCAAGATATAAAGAAGCTTACATAAATCTCTATTCTGTCCAAAGAAATCTAACAGATCTTTTTCAATCAAAAACTGAATGATCAAGAGTGTGGCCTCCCATTAAGTGTAAAAGTGGGTTTACTTCATGTTTAAGCAAAAAATGAAGGTAAAGCGGTCATGAGCTCAGGTGTCAGATATATAATTGTTTACCTAGTTCTGCTAAAGCATATTTCAGCATTCTGCATAGTATGACAGGTTATAGGCCACTCCGGCATCATCACTTGCATAAACTTCCAAATCCTAGCTAGGATTTAAGGCACTGGAACAGTCATTGCTGGATTACCTAAGGGTAATAATCATATAAAATAAAGGAGCAGAATGGAAGAGCTTTAAAATCCCACATAAGGTTATATTCCTTACTTTACCAGATAGTGGGTCAGGAAGGTTTAGGGCCTATGTAACCATCTGTGAGCTTATCTGAATAGCTCTGTAATTTAGACATATGGGCAATATATGGAAAGAGGGGTAATTTTATTATTATATAGTGTTCAACCTAAACCCAAGAACAACTCTGGTAATAATTACAGCTTTGATCATTTCTTTCTTCATCTCAATTGTTACCACTGATGGTTTAATACAGCACTGCTCTCCAGAATGTTCTAGTCTGCTGTGGGAGTTATGCAAAACTTGAGTGAAGATTGCAAACCATTAGCCAAATATAAAATGGTCATTCAGAGTGAATTACATTTAAAAAATCCAAACATGGAAATGGACTCATTCCTGCTAAATGGGTAGATGATACAGGACATTCAAGATGAAGATAATGTTCCTAGTGAACCTCAAAGTCTACTTTCTTTTCTAACAACCTTTCCTCAGTCTTTTAGTGTTTCACTCCCCTCTGCACTCTTCAGCCAAGAAGAACTTTCTGCATTCTGTGTGCGGCAACACTAGCTTCGTCCTCCGAGTCAGATTCGCTCTGGGATGTAGAACTGCAAGGCGAAGAGCATTCTGGTGAACACAAGTAGTGCATCAGGGGGAGGCGGTACTTCCCACAGAAGTCCACAAATTTTATCTGTCTGACACAGCAGTCAAAGTAGACTCCTGCAGAGAAGGAGGAAAAAGTATAAAGTAAATCATTACAGAGCAAAGAATCACAGTTTCTTTTGCAACCATTTCTCCAGCATTCTGAAGCAATGTCATGTACAGTCTTCTCTGTTCTGAATCTTAAGCAGAACTAGTAAATGTTTCTATAGCTGTTTATAGTTAATTTATAGTGATTTGGCTGCAAAGGGGCGGCCAGAGTTACCTAAAAGGGATATGGTATTAAAAGGACACTGTTTATTTAGCTTGTTTTCTCTGGGTGATTTGGTAGACAATGCCTGATAGTACTACCCTACTGTCAAGAAACTTAAAAAGCCCTCAAAACTTCAAAATTTGCAGATAGGAGACAACTTCTGGTATCCTTGTTCTTATGTTTGAGAAGCAAAATGGAAAAAACCAAAATGATAACTTACATTTCCACAGGTTCTAAATCTACACACTTCAAAGCTGTTCCACGAATGGTCTCACAGGGCTTTCACACAATTATATATTGTTAGGTAGACTGAAACCAGTACTATTTAATCCTCACCTAAGAAAATTTTCCCATTGATTTTGAGAGTGGAAGAGAGAGGGGAAAACAGAGCGAAACATCAAAATTCATTGCCTCCTACACGTGCCCTGACCAGGGTCCCGGCCAGGAAAGAGTATGCCCTTGGCCAGAATCAAACCTGGGAGCCTTTGGTCGGCAGGCCAACACTCTATCCACTGAGCCAAACTGGCTAGGGTTATTCAGCTCTTTTGATTCCTAATTTTGATTCCACAGTGCTCCTGAACTGTGCCCTTCAGCTAAGTAAAAATACATTTGGAGCTGAGAGAAAAGCAGAGGTTGGTGTATCTGAGTTCTAGCCACTCCTTGAAGATACCGCACATGTCTAACCCAGGCTATCACAATGACTGCAGTATAACCTGGGACCCTTAAGTCCGCAGACCGATGCTCTATCCACTGAACCAAACCAGCTAGGACTATTATGCTCCCTTTATGTTTCCTCTCATTTTACAAATCTTATGACAGTTCCAAAACAGGATAAGACTTTCTAGGTGTTTTCCTTGTGTATGAATCATAAAGGTCTATGAAAAGAAAAGAAAGGAAAAGAAAAAAAAAAAAGAATCATATCCAGAGAGGGTCTTAGTCTCTGGTAAAAGGGTAAAAGGATGAGGGAAACAGAAACAGAGACTAACTGCCTTTCTCTGAAAGAAGATAGATAACGGAAGCACTGAGATCATCAATTTTAAAAATAGCTAAATGAATGGAAAACAAGGACATGAAATTAGCTTACCTCCACACTTTGGGTTTGGGCAATTGCTGGCTAAACTCAAGTATCTAAGAAGATTCCCAGGAAGATCACAGGGAGTGTAGGAAATATTTCGAATTTTAATAGTCCGGGCAGCTAATTCCAGGAGAGTCGGAGGATTGTAGGTTAAATCTCTAACAAAACGAACAACCAATGGATTTCCTCGCAAACTCAATTCTTCCAAATGAATAAGGCTGAGGATCTCTCGAGGCAGGTATGTCAGCAAGTTATTGTGAAGACTGAGGGATCGAAGCGAATGCAACCTGGAATGAGTGCAGTACAAAAACCAATGACAGTAAGCAAGATAACCACCAAGAAAGTTAAGTTCTTCACTTAACTTGATTTCCCCGTAAGAATGTGCGATTAAGATTAGGGCCATGGAAATAAAATTTAAAAGTGCTGAAACTCTATCAGAATATAGATTTGTAAATGTCATGATGGGCTTTTGCTCATGGAATCTCAGACAGTATAGAATACTCGAGAGAATATTCTGACGAACTAGATGAAATATAAATGCTAGATTTAAACATTTTGGGGGATGTTTTATCATTCAGATAACCAAAAGGGAAAGATTCTAAATGCAGCGGAATCAAGACCCTTCACATTATCCATTAGGATAGGAATGCTTCATATCAAATATAAAATTAACAAAATCCCTTAAAAACCTGGGTAATCTCTGTCAAATTAATACTATATTTTCATTACAATATACAAATATTGTCAGAAATAAGCCACAGCCTTTTAAAAAAGTAGCATTAAAAATAAGCAACCCCATTCACAGCAAACATAACGGTAATTCTCATGTAACATCTAGTTCTTTCTACCTATAAAACGTGGGTGAATGCCAAAACAGTAATCCCTAAGCATGTATCTATCAATAATAATAAAAGCTTAATATGCTAATTAGGACAGCTGAACAACCTTCCAGACGTCATTCTGTATATCCTTCCAGACTACGGGTGTTGAACTCAATCAGAGAAGGGGCCAAAATCTAAAATCCAGCCTAAATCGCGGGCCGAATGGTTTACTGAACAGTCATAAACTGTCATTGTGATGGAAACGCAGCGGAGTGCAGTGATGACAGCGCGGTGCGGGCCACATTGCAAGGCCTGGCAGGACGGATTTGGCCCGCGGGCCTTGTGTTTGACACATGTGTTCCAGACAAAGCCGTGGTGGCAGGGGCCGAGACAGAGGTGGTTAGGAGTGATGAGCAGTTAGGGGCAATGAGACAGGCAGGCAAGTGGTTAGGGGTGATGAGGCAGGCAGGCGAGCAATTAGGAAACAGCGGTCCCGGATTGCAAGAGGGTGTAGGCCAGACTGAGGCACCTCCCCTTCCCACCCCCACCCCCCGCATGAATTTCGTGCACCGGGCCACTAGTGTATACATAAATTGCTTGCAATTACTCACTGTGAAAACTGAGGAGGTACACTTTGGATTCTGTTGTCACATAATACTAAGTAATTTAGAGAAGGCAGATTTGCTAATTCTGGTGGGATTTCTTTGATGAAGTTTCCTCCAAGATATAAACATTCTAAACTGCAAAGATAAACAAAAATAGAAAGTAAATAAACCAAAGCTAGGTAAGATATTCCATTTCCTTTATTACAATTAACTTATTTCATTTATTCATTCAGCAAATGTTTTACTTAGGATCTGCTATATGCCACACAGTTTCTAGAGAAATAATGCAATCTTAAGGGAGCTTATATTATAGTTAAGCAGACAATACACACCAATATTAGGCTATATTATCAATACTACCTACTGGTGACCCTGCTAGCGGTTCTCAACCCATAGGTTGAGAACAGCTGCTGTAGAACCTAAGACCACCGGAAAACACAGATATTTACATTACAATTCATAATTATATTTATGAAGTATTATAATTATATTTTGAAGTAGCAAAATTATAGTTATGAAGTATCAATGAAAATAATTTTATGGTTGGAGGTTACCACAACATGAGGAACTGTATTAAAGGGTTGCGGCATTAGAAAGGTTGAGAACCACTGCCTTAGGCTGTCAAATAAAAAAATGACAACAGCCAACACAACAGTTGCCATCCCATGAGAATGAATCAAAATTATACTTTTTTTTTTTTTTTTGTCAGACTGGCAAGAAATATATTTTTTGGTGTGTTGCAAAATTTTAGTAATTAGTTTATATATGCCATGAGATTAAAAAAAAAAGTTTGAAACTCACTGTTTTAAGAGTGTAATTCATGTAAATCCTTTATAAATTCTTTCAGCAAGAGCCCATTTTAGTTTTTATCTTTGAGTCTTCAGTCTCTGACATTTTTATCTCCCTCCCTCCTTGTTAAGTAATAAATAGGTTGGCTGGGCATAAAATTCTAGGTTGATAGTGACTTTTATTATTAGCACTAGAAAGTTACTGCTCCAAGATCTTATTTTAGCCAGTATTAGTATATTGCTCCTTTGTAGGTAATCTGCTGTTCTTTTTTAAGAGCTTTTAGATTTTTTTTTTCTTTATTTAACCTGATAGTTCTGAAGTCTTATCATGATCAGTTTGAAGTACTCTTTTTAAATATATTTTATTGATTCTCTACAGAGAGGAAGGGAGAGAGATAGAGAGCTAGAAATGTCGATGAGAGAGAAACATTGATGAGCTACCTCCTGCACAACCCCCACCGGGGATGCACCCGCAACCAACGTACATGCCCTTGACCGGATTCGAACCCAGGACCCTTCAGTCCACAGACTGACGCTCTACTGCTGAGCCAAACCGGTTTCAGCTGAAGTACTCTTTTTAATTGTGGGAAATTTTAAACCAGTGTATTTCAAACATTCCTTCCCTATATGCTCTCTATTCTCTTTCTAGAATTTCTAGTAAATAGCAGTGGAACTTCAGAATCAATTCTCCATGTTTCTTAACATTTCTTTCATACTTTTGTGCTACAAGCTATCTTTAAGCCTATTAAGTTTATAATTACATTTTTTAATTTCTAGGAGTTCTAATGAGGGTTTTCATAACTGTCAATTTTTAAACTTCTTATTCTTGTTTCATTGATGAAGTTCCCTCCTTTACTTCTTTGACATTAAAAATCATGCTTATTGTAAAGTCTTTTGTAGGTAGTCTTCTTAAATGTATTTTCTAGATTTAATTTCTTCCATTTGTTGAATTTCTTATCTTTACTTCATTATCTTTATGTGTGGTGATTCAAAGTTTTGTCATTTTAAAAAACGTATTAATGATACTTTTTCTATTTCTGACTGCGTAAATCTCTTACATTTATAATGCTTAAAAACAAAAAGTTTAATTCCAATGTTATTTTTTTGTCTTTCAAATATTGTCTGTATCAAAAATCAATTGTCTATATACAAGACTAAATTCTCCTACATGTAAATGTTTAAGCACTGATTTAAAAACTTCCTAGGCAAGATTTTTTTGGGCTTAACAAAAATGGTCTAAGTTAATTAATGTTCAGTTGTTCAGAAATCTTTGTTTTTCAATGATCAGAGCGAAGAGAACAGAAGAATTAGAATCAGAATAAAACATTTGGAGCCCCCCCAAAAAAGAAACTTCGCTGGAAAAATAATTATTTTAATGAGAAGAATAACTGGGAAAAATATTAGCTAACTTGGAAGGTTATATATATATATATATATATATATATATATATATATACACACACACACACACAATATGTGTGTGTGTGTGTGTGTGCATATATATATAAAGGATTAAACAGTTAAATAACAATTCATAGTCTACTGAAGAAGAAAAGAAAATGAAAAAAAAAAGGAGGGTGAATGAGAGCAAATTTAAATATTGTCTTTTCTATTTAAGTCAGGAACCTAGAAAAATTAGTGTCTGGTGGTCAGTTACACTCAAATGACTTTTTCTCTCGATATTTTGGAATGGGGGGTTGGGAGACATACAGACAAAGGGTGCCAAACCTTAGTAGTTATGGTGACTTGGCAGAGAAGGATCTGATGTTCTAAAATATAACTAAGCCAATTATTACAAGATTATATCAATTCTCTTTTGCAACTGATGGGTGTCATTAATCAGATTACACAATCAGCATATTAAAGTACACTTTAAGGCTTATTTCTTACTTTGAAAATCAAATAATTCCCAACGTTCTAGGGATATGAAGCCTTTAAATTACTTGTAAAATTAAATTTCCAAAGCACAATCTATTGTTTCCAAACCTACTTTTCTGTAAAAACGAAGGGAGACTACTGTTAAATTTAAAACAAAACTGTAGTATTTAAAAGTTCTTGTATTTGTCAGCATTGCATCTCTGTCGATCAGGTTTGGAACAATTCTATTTTTTCAGTGTTGGACAGATACAGAAAAACAGGAAAATCATTCACAAAATTTATAGAATTCTTCCTTTCCTTTCTGTTTACCATTAACAGACCATCCTTAGATTTGTTTCTTGAAAAGTAACAAATTGGAGAACTGGGGTTCTCCAATCTTTAGCAGGTGGCTTTTCTCTATCAAAGGCCAATGACCCGTTTAAAAAAATACAGTAGGGTCCCTTAGTGCCAATCAACTTTAACCACAGATATATCATATTTTCCGGCGTATAAGACGACTTTTGAAACAAAAAAAAAAGTCAACCGAAAATCAGGGGCAAAAGACCAAAATTGCACAAAAATTACCTGCAGATCTTGACGGCAAAGTAAGTCTTTTCTTTGAATTGGGGGATAGTCTTATACAGCGAATATAGGCCTAAACCTATGTTTTAACTGTAAAATTAGTGGGTCGTCTTATACGCCGGAAAATACGGGTAAGTAGAAAATGCTTTTCTTCTCCATCCAAATAAAAGCGACATTACTAGTAAATATAATGAAAGTATACAATAGTTCTATAATTGTTACAGGGAGATGAAATTACAGTGAACATGTTTGTAGACGAAAAGGCAGAAAACAAAGACAAAGAAAGAACCGTATATATATGGACAAAGAAAGTAATTTTCTTGAGATAGCATCCTCATATTGAATTATTTTCAAACACTATCACTGACTACAGGCTTTTAAAGTGCATTATATGTTCAAACGTAGAAACACAAATGAAGGAACCATTCCTTGGTACTTGCCCCAAACTAAGGCAATAAAAGAAAGAAATCAGAGGGAAGAAGTTGAGAACTAGAGAAAAACTCAGTATGTGATTCTAAATGGAAAAAAAAAAAATTATTTAAATTTTATCACTTCCTATTTATCATCTGGTCTAGTCACTTCTTTTGTAAGATACCAATTTATTAGCTTCAAAACACTCCAGGGCAGTGGTCGCCAACCTTTTGGACCTCAGGGACCACTAGTGGTCCATGTACCACCAGTTGCTCTAGGGCATTAATATTTACCTTTGTTTCTATCACAATCCTCTTCAATTTCTAAAGCCACATCAGACAGTAAGAGAAGGGTCATGAAGAGAAAGGGGAAGGCATTACTTGAGAAGAAAATATTGAGAGAAATGGTACCAATTGAAACTCACTTGTACTCAAACCTACTCTCTAAATGTCTAGAATCCTAGATGCCAAACAGTCCTGAAGCTTTTGGGTTTTTAAATAACTATTGGGTGATAAGTTATTAAGCATCTGAGCTTATTGAGAGGAATAAGTTTAGATGTCATAAGAAACAGGTCAAAATAATAAATAACTTACTTTTTCAAGATTACAAAAACAAAAATAAGTTTGTCCACATACTAGACAAAGAGCTGTTATACCTACTTGTTGGAGAATAACCTCATACTTTGATGATAAGAATCTACATCCACAACTTCATGATTCACACTGAGCTTAATTTACTCCATGGGAATGAAATTAATAATAAATGTAAGATTTTCAAAAAATAAAAATAAATATATACACATATATTTTCAGCATCTACTTATTTGTTACTAGTGGCCCAGTGTACGCTTCCATGTACACTGAAAGGAAATTAGAAGATTTGTGCAGTAATTATGTTACTGCAAAAAATACATGTCAAAATAATATATATATATATATATATATATATATATATATATATATATATACATACACACACACACACACACACACAAGCCTAAACAACTATCCGACCTGTAGCTATGATGTGCAATGACAACCAGGGGGCAGACACTCCGACTGGTAGCTATGACATGCACTGACCATCCAGGGGACAGATGCTTAACACAGGAACTGCCGAGCTGCAGACTTGGCAGCTGCTGTTCTCGGATGATGCACCCAGAATGAGAGAATGGGGAGCCCGATTCTGCCCTCTTGCAATCCAGAATCCCTCCGAGGATGCTGAAGAGCCAGTTGTGGCCTGATTCTCACAGGCCAGGCCAAGAGACCCCACCTGGCCGAGGGACCCCACTTCACTCTACAGACGACCTTTGAACCGCAGCACTGCCCCAGATGTGGACAGCCAGGGAGGGACCACAGGAGGTTGGCTCCAGGGCATGTCCAGCCTGTCTCACCCAGTCCCACCCTACCCCGCCCCACTGGCCACCTTCTAATTAATTTCCTTTCAATGTGCATCAATCCATGCACTGGGGCACTAGTAGTAAAAAATTAATACATGCATGCGACTGGCACCAGCGAGAGCTTTATATGTTTCGCACATGCTCAAGTCAATGTTTATTTTTAAACTGCCAGTGAGCATCATATGTACTGGCCAGTAGTTTGGTTGGACAGCCAGAGAGACGTACAGTGAGACGTATGTGCGGTCACTTGGCCTTTTATATTATAAATATTGATACTTCAAAACTGACCTTTCAGAAACTATTTCTTCAAAAGAGTTGCCGCTAGGGAAAAGGATTAACAAAGTATAGAAAACATACATGAAGACACCCTACAAACCTGAAGAGGTTAATTATATCAATTAAGCTAATTGTGCATATTTGTTATTCTTTCCTGAAATAAAGGTTGAGGATAAAGGAAACCTTTACATGGATTACATACTCTGTAATACTTTTAAATTGCTATTAAAGATTAGGATAACTATCTTCCTAACATCCAACAGATGAGAAGTCAAAGAACCAGGTCCTAGCCCTACTTTGTCACTGTGGAAAATTCATGGGTTTGGAGTGAGAGATCACAGGGGTCAAATCCAATCCCATCATTCACTGGCTTTGTAATATTATGACTTAACATCTCAGAGCTTCTGTTTCCTCTTCTCATCTCACAGAGTCATTGTGAGAATTAAAAATCGTATTTAAAACACTTATAACAGGGCCCAAAGCATTGTAAGTAAGCAAATAAATGCTATTTTTACTTACCCTTTTCCTTATGTGATGGAAATAATATTTGCTCTTGGTTTTTCTTAGTATTTTAAGAAAACTTAAATGAGGTTGAAATTATGTAACACAAATATTAGAAGGAACCAAGGTCTAACAAGGTTTAATGTTTCTTCTAGTATGTTAGCTCCATGAGGGCAGCAGGACCATGTTCACTACAGTATCCCCAGCACCTGACACATGGTAGGTACTAAATAAATATTCGTGATGAGATGATTATGAAGACATGCCCAAATGCCTCATTTTACAGATTAGGAGGCTGTAGTGAGGATATATTAAGTGATTTGCTAAGGCCTGGACATCAAGAGTCCTTATTCTCAGGCCAATGTTCTTTTCACTACATTTAGCTCTAGGGTCCCTCCCATCTCTAACATTCTGTTATCTCAGAAAATTCAAATAAAAGCTGTGAAAATATTTTCAGACGAAAGACATTTTTTTTTCACTTTGGACAATCCACTTGCTCTTCTTTTAAAAAATGTATATTTTATTGATTTTTTTACAGAGAGGAAGAGAGAGGGATAGAGTTAGAAACATCGATGAGAGAGAGAAGCATCAATCAGCTCCCTCTTGCACAGCCCCTACTGGGGATGTGCCCGCAATCAAGGTACATGCCCTTGACCAGAATCGAACCTGGGACCTTTCAGTCCGCAGGCCAACCCTCTATCCACTGAGCCTAACTGGTTTCAGCAATCCACTTGTTCTCGCACTATTTCTTACTCTCCTGCACAGCACATTTAAGGGACTTTTGCTACATGTGTCTCTACTTCTTCCTTGCATTTAATTCAATATACATTAACTGAATAATGAGGCAGATCTGAATAATCAGATCAACTGTCATGTATACAAGGCATTCATAATCAACAAGATAAATGCAATGGTGGGTTGAGTGAGGTACAGAGGAAGTACAGTATAGATCATAAATTAGTTGTGGTCCATAAAGCAATAAAGAAAACAAAGATATCACCCCCGCGATAGGTTTTGAATGATAAATAGGAATTTACAGGCAACTTTTCAGGCAAAAGGAAAAGGATATGTACAGTTACTGCATTCATTCTATGCATATTTTTTGTATGCCCATCAGTGCTGGTAAAATGCACGGCTCACTGAACTTCACAAGTAGTACAGTAGTTCCCTTTTATTTGCAATTTTGTTTCCCCCGTTTCAATTATCTGTGGTCAACTGTGGTCCAAAATTATTCAATGGAAAATTCCAGAAATAAACAATTCATAAGTTTTAAATTATGCACTGTTCTGACTACTGTGATGAAATCTAGTATCATCCTGTCCTACCCCGTCTGGGTTGTGAATCATCCCTTTGTCCAGCACATACAGCTCTATATACAACTCATCAGTTACTTAGTAGCCATCTCAGCTAATCTGATCAACTGTCATGGTATCTATCACAGTGTTTTTATGTTCAGCTCAAAGAACATTTACTTAATAATGGCTACAAAGAGCAAGAGTAGTGAGGCTGGCAATTCTGGTTTGTCAAAGAAAAGCTTTAAAGTACTTCCTTTAAGTAAAAAGGTGAAAGTTCTCTACTTAGAGGAAAGAGAAAAAATTGTATGCTGAGTTTGCTGCAATTTAAGGTAAGGATAAATCTTCTATCTGTGGAATTGTGAAGGGAACAGAAATTTGAGCTAGTTTTTCTGTCCCATCTCAAAATGCGAAAGTTATGAGCACAGTGCCTGTAAGTGCTTAGTTAATATGAAAAAGGGATTAAATCTGTGGGTGGAAGACGTGCGCAAAGACTGCATTCATGTTTACTGCAAGTATGTAGTTATAGCTGACCTATGTTATTATGTCATTGTTGTTCACCTCTTACTGTGCCTAATTTACAAATGAAACTTTATCACAGATATGTGCATACTGAAAAATACATAATATAAACAGGGTCAGTTCAGGTATACTATCTGAGGCTTCAAGTATCCACTAGGGACCTGAAAACACGGCCTCCTACCCTGGGGGACTTTGGTATTGCTGTTACTAAAGAACAGGGAGCAGTAAATGTCCTAGAAAAGCAAGGTTCAGATCAGAGTACATCGGATGTCTGGCTAAAAGGCACAAACTTCGATCTACAGCAGCGACATGTACCGCCAGAATTTTAAAAACATGCAATCCCTGGCTATTGAGCCAGGGGCACTGACCTCTTTTCCCTTATTGTCAAATAAAGTAACAGCCAACACAACAATAACCGCCTGGTGTGCAAGCATCAACATGACAGGTATTTTTTTTTTCCAAGTCAGATCAGAAAAAAAAAAAATTTTTTTTTGTTTGTTTGTTTGTTTTTGGTGTCCCGCAGAATTTTGGTCATTAGTTTGTGTGTGCCAGGAGATGAACAAGGTTGAAAACCGCTGGTCTATAGACAGCGGGGGGGAGGGAGGAACCGCCAAGGACTTCAAAGCAAGAAAGGGACAACATTTACATTTGAGTGTCTGTTAGTTTGAATAGAACAACTGCCTGGATCATCTATCTGCTCAGGAGAAATACGTACAACGTACCAAACGCGGACACACATCGCCTTACACGGCAGTGTTTCCCAAACTTCCCTCAGGATGAGAATCACCTGGTGGAGTCGTTAAACTACAGATTCCTGAATCCCAACTAAGAAGTGCTAAACTAGAATTTTGGGGAACATATAGGTAAAATTGTATACTTAACTCAAAGAGCACATGAGAGAAGTTTAGGAAACACTGCACGGGATTAGCTGAGCTGGCGGGCAGCGCGCACCGGGGAGTTAAAGGGACAGAGGCGGCTTCTGACCCCTAAGCCGCGCCCGGACCAGGCCCGGCGCCCGCGGCGGCCGCCCCGGACCCCCTCCCCCTGGGCGGCGGCGGCGGCGCCCCGCTCCGCTCACCTCTGCAGGTTCTCGATCTCGGCCGGGATGGTCTGCAGCTGGTTGCCCCCGAGGCTGAGGGTGTGCAGCGCGCGCAGCTCCAGCACCGGGGCGGGCAGCTCCTGGAAGCAGTTGCCGCTGAGGTTGAGCACCTGGAGGCTGCGCGCCAGCGGCGACCGCGCCAGCCCCTTGGGCAGCGCGCCGGGCCCGCCGAGCCGGTTGTTCTTGGCGAGCAGCGTGCGCAGGCGGCGCAGCGCCAGCAGCTCGGGCCCCAGCGCCGTCAGCGCGTTGCCGCTCACGTCCAGCAGCTGCAGGTGCGGGAAGCCGCCGCCCAGCGCCCGCGGCAGCGACGCCAGACGGTTGTGCGGCAGCAGCAGCCGCAGCAGCGCCTCCCGCGCGCCGCGCCGCTCCTCGTCGCCCCGCGACTCCAGCTCGGACTCCAGCGTCTCCGGGGACACGCTGAGGCGAGACAAGTTCAGCTCGGCCTCCCCGGCCGCGGGCACGGCCGCCCCGGCCTCGGCCTCCTCCATCCCAGCCGCGGGCACGTTCGCCCCGGCCTCCTCCATCCCACCCGCCGGCCCGCCCGCCGCGGGGCGCGCGACCCCCAGGCCCCGGAGCTGCGCGGCCCCGGAACCTGAAACGAGAGCTTCCTTCGGAAGAGGCGGGCACGGACCTTAATCCCGCGCGTCCCCGCCTTAGTCACGCGCCCGGGCGCCGGGCACGCCGTCGGGGGGCCGGGCTGCGTCTCACGTGGCGCGCGGCGTGCGGGGGGCGGGGCTGGGGCCTGTGGGCCGCCACGTTGCCTTCTCTGCTGGTCGGGGTTCGGTCCCTTTAGATTAGAAGGTCCTTGTAGAACAGTGTTTCCCAAACTTCTCTCATGATGAGAATCCCCTGGTGGAGTTGTTAAAATACAATTTTGTTTATTTATAGGTAATATATTTAACATATATTACCTATATATTCCCAAAAATTCTAGCTTAGCACTTCTTAATTGGGATTCAGGAATCTGTATTTTAAGTATACAATTTTACCTATATGCTCCCAAAAATTCTAGTTTAGCACTTGTTAGTTGGGATTCAGGAATCTGTATTTTAACCACTTCACCAGGGGATTCTCATCATGAGAGAAGTTTGGGAAACACTGCGTAGAAGGTTCCCAGGAACAGGACTAGGCAGACAGAGGGCGGCGAGGGGTGGGAGAGGGAAGGAGAGCCCTCCTGGAGGGGCCCCTCCCACTGAGTAAAGAGAGAAAGGTTCCAGTCTTTGGTAGCTTAAAATGTTGGAGTTCTGCTAAGGCTAAATCATACATATTAAGTATCTAGGTATTTTGAAATAACAGGATACTGAAGTATTAATTCACCTGAGTTCCTTATTATAGAGAATCTAGAGGATGTATTTGAATCTGTAGATGAATACGTCCTGTGTTTTGTTTGAAGCATCTCTTTAAAATGTGAATGTATTGCTAATCTGAGGAATGTAAATCATTAACCTCAAAGTTAATGTTTCTAAGGGTTAAGAATTCTAACTGGAAAGACATTACGTGGCTTTGGTGTAATAGAAGGCACGAGGCATGGATGTGCATTTTGAAGGAAAACAAAAGTGGGTTCTAACAGCAGTGTGGAGCCATCTAGTAAATCCTATTTTCCTTAAACCAAGGACACATAATACGGTAGTAAATGATTTGCATTTTTTTTCCTTTCTAACCAGAAGATAAACAGCTTATATCAACCTACTCAGGGAGACAGCTTAGAGGAAATTGCTCAAAGTATTGTTGCTCCAGGGCGCCAGAGTGGAGACCACAAATTACCTCAATATAATTGTTATGATATTAACTAGAGGCTCAGTGCACGAAATTTGTGCACAAGGGGGAGGGGGTCCCCTCAGCCCAGCCTGCACCCCTCTGGGGATGTCTGACTGATGACTTAGGCCCAGTTGGACATCCTTAGCTCTCACCAGCTATGAGCTCGGCTTGTGGCTATGCAGTGCTCCCCCTGAGGGAGTGTACTGACCACCAGAAGGCAGCTCCTGCATTGAGCATCTGCTCCCTGGTGGTCAGTGCACATCATAGCGACCAATCATTTCACTGTTCAGTCAATTTGCATATTAGCCTTTTATTATATAGGATTGTTGACTGTTAACTACACTGTTCCCACCTCTGTAAAAGAAGCATGTATCTAGCATTTTACTTTTTACCCAATCCCAAAGGTTCCCCTCCACCCTTTGCTCTCTCCCGCTTCCCTAATCTATCACCAATGGATTTCATGTAACTCACTTAGTTTCCTTCTTTGATTGTAACTTATAAAATAAGGTGAAGACTGTTATTCTCTGGAACATTATCTCAATACCTTGATATTCTGCTTTTTAGCAATTGTTGACAGTTTGGCCCAAATAAATTCACAAAAATTTCTTTACAGGTTTGAGTGTTTCTTACATTAACAGAGTTAAGATTACAAATCAGTGAAGTTAAAGGGGAAAGATGGAAATAGTCTCAAAAATAGAAAATGAAGCTGCCTAATAGAAAGTTTTGAAGAAATGTTTAAATGAATGAGAATCCCTTTATTGCTCATAATAATTACAGCTACCACATGGCTCACAATTAAGCAGCATCCCTCATACTACAGTGGCTTTGAGCCTATCCAGTCAGCCTGGAGAATTCTGAAAACCCTCTGTGAGGTGAAAGGGGTTTGGTAGCTTGTGGACCTTCACAATGATGGGTCTGTTTTGTGGTTTGCAGAAGGAAATAACAGAAAGGCAGGCATTCCAGACGGGGCCACTAGAGAGTGTGAGGGAAAAGGAGGCAATGTAATGCATTATCTAGGGAAAGGGTTGGATTTCAAGGGTTTGGAGTAGTACATGGCATATTTGTCCACTTACCCAAACTGCAACTGGACAATCAATGGGTCCATGCTGCCTGTCACTACTTGAGTCAATGAAGCAGAGACAGGGTGGAATCACATATGAGTGTTTACTCCATTACTGCCAGCAGTATGGGAGAGCAGCAGGTCATCCACAAAAACCTGCTCTGTACCACACCATAGCCAGCTGCTTCTATTGGGTAGAGGGGCAAAGATTACATGGGGAAGTGGGCAAAGGGTATGCCAAATGGGCAGTTTACAGGTAACATGGGCTGGAGATTTGCAAAGGCCTGTGGGCGTGCAAAGGCTGGGGGGTCTTCAAAGGACTAGTGATATGCAAAGGTCTGGGGGTGGGGGGACCCTTCAAAGGGCTAGCGATTCTGGTTTCTGCAACAAGGTGGTTAAACTTTCAGCTCCCTGCTGGGGAGGATGGGTTGTATTTCCAGGTGAGCTCCCAGCCAGGTTAGAATGAACCTTCTTTAGCAAAACAATCACAGTCAACAGAACACAATATTTCTTACAATTATAGCTGGTCCCTAATATTCAATTTCTGCCCCTATCAAAACTATACCATTCAGCAACTTATGGGTCAAACTGACGATGTTATAGAATAATGTAACATTCTCCTGACTATAATGTTATTGAATAAAGAAGGGAGATCAAATGAAGGGCACTTTTCCCTTCAGCCACCTTGTGTAGGTTATCTTGAAAAAACTTTTTTTTTTTTTTGGCCAAAAAAATAAATAAATAAATAAAATACAGCCATTAGAAATATCAAGTTTCATGGAGCATCTTGGTGAGCTTTTGCTGCAGCACTTGGGTAATAACACTAACACTGAGCAGTTCCTAGGGACCAACACACGACAGTCCCTTTGAAGAGTTGCTTGACTCTCCATCTCAGTTGCTTCTCACCTGGCTGATTGGAGGGACCGGCTGTGATACAGGTAAGCTCTTTCAACAAAGAGTCCATTTATTTGGGAGAAATTGTTGGCCATGAATGTGAACTGGAAAGCCAAATGACGGATAATGTGACTGAAGTGTTTGGATATCCACCCCAACTGTGTCTGGTCCCTTCACGCTTATGTGTCTACATAGACACATAAGTTCGTTGACTTCTCATAGTTTTCCTGTAAAATGAGATGAGAAGGGCATAAGCCCGGGAGGCAATACCAGGTTGCATTGCTGGAATTTTCTGTTTCAGCATAGTTGATAATCATCTTTAGTAGTGTATGAATTTATTGTTTTTCTGTTTATTTTGTGTGTGTGTGTTTTGTTTTGTTTTTTTTGCCTGTTAAATAATAAAACTTTCACCGAAACTGGTTTGGCTTGGCGGTAGAGCTTTGGTCTGCGGACTGAGGGGTCCCAGGTTTGATTCCGGTCAAGGTAATGTACATTGGTTGCAGGCACATTCCAGTAGGGGTTGTGCAAGAGGCAGCTGATCGGTGATTCTCTCTCATTGACGTTTCTAGCTTTCTATTTCTCCCTTCCTTTCTGTAAAAAATCAATAAAACATATTTTTTAATAATAATAATAATAATAATAATAAAAACTTTGTAACAATATTGCGCCAGATTCTATTTAATTTAGTTAATGCAATAAACACTTATTGGGTGCCTATGACATGTTGAATTCCATGATGGACTTATGAAAGGCAAAGAGGACCTTAGCCCTGCTCTTTGGGACATTACCGTCTAGTATGGATAATAACATTTTTCATACAGAAACTATAAAGCTAATAAGTAGCCCAGGTCATAAAAATATTTTTAATTATGGAGAAATGCTTACAAAATAGTGTCATGAGGAAAATTAACCTGGACACTAAACTATATATACAAATTGAGTTCTCCTAAAAAGATTGAAAGAGAATATTCCAAAATGACAACTGTTCTCTGGGGACAGACTTAAAGGTGATTATAATATTCTTCTTTATTCTTTTCTATTTTTTTAAAATTAATTTAAAAAATGAATTTGTGTTACTATTCATCCTCTTTGGAATAGCAACTATATCTCTACAACAATACTTTAAGGATAACATTGGATATTTGTACAAAGATGTAAATTCAAGATTATTTTTGAAACTCACTTTATAATGTCTAGAAACAAAATACTTTCTAAAAGCCCACCCAAGAAAATTAAATAGATCCATTATGGAATATATGAATGATTTAAGTATACATTTCTTTATATATATATTTTATTTATTTATTTATTTATTTATTTATTTATTTATTTATTTATAGAGAGGAAGAGAGAGAGAGAGAGAGAGAGACACAGACATTGATAAGAGAGAAACATTAATCAGCTGCCTTCTGCACACTCCCTTACTAGGGATGTGCCTGTAACCAAGGTACATGCCCTTGACCAGAATCGAACCTGGGACGCTCTATTCACTGAGCCAAACCGGTTAGGGCAATGTAAGCCTAAATCTATTGACATAGAAAACATCCACCACCTATTGCTCAGTATGTGTAATATGGTTTCATTTTTGTGGAGAGAGGGAGAAACAAAATGTTTATGTAAGAGTACACATAGAAGAAACTCTGAAAGTACATGCTTCAGAGCATTGGGCACCAAGGATGGGTGTGATGGGCATAGTCTTCCCCGGAAGTAGAAAATAAAAGGAGTGCATGGTATATAGTATATCTATGAACAATAATAAAACCTATTAAAATCAGTTTGCTTATTACCATCTCCAGCAATTCTAAACAACAACTACAATGAAGATGGCATATAAGTCTCAGCTGACTGAATGGGTCGCCTATTCTTATGAATGCACATATGTATTTGATTATTCCCTCCTGTTAATCTGTGTC